CCTTCTAGAAAATAGCTGAGGAATAATGATAATGGTAGGATCGGATAATATTGCTAGTCAAGCAACGACGATTAAATGATAATAGTCGAGGAACAACGGCCGAACAACTATCAAGTGATGATGGTCAAACGACGATAATCAGATGGCGGTGTTCAAATAATGGCGATCGAACAAGTGTGATAACTAGCGGTCATTGTTAGTGTAAAATGTAAACTAAAGCTCCAGAGTACTTTATATCCCTAAATTCTCCCAAATTTAACCCAAGATCCATACAAAGTTGAAAATGATGGTCTATTTATAGTATTTTTAGAGTGATATAATATTTTAATAAATTTACCTAAAATTTATCACACTCCATTGGGCAACCCATATTAAATTATTTGACTATGATTATTCATTTAGCATTTAGGAACCATAAAATGCCTCATAATCAATTGATGTTAGGCTTGTTGAATTTATCTCATCGAGAAGTTCAATATGACTATTCTAGGATTATTTAGTCCTCTAATTAATAAATTTGAAGTTTCTAATCATACTTCAAGTGCTTGATTTTTTTCTAGTTGAATTCGAATTGGATCACCTTTATTAGTGTTCTTGTGTTTGTCTTATCGAGATTTTTAGTTTGACTATAAATTTGTTGAATTGATCAAAGCTCGGATTGTTTTGAATTTATTTTTGAAAGTCTCTAGCACATGCAATTCATCAAATTTTGTGTCAATCGACTGAATTCTTTATAGTTGTATTTAGTTAGTTGATAAGCTTGTTACGATTTATTAAATTCTCTAATTTGTATTGTGTGATGCTAGAAGAATTGTTTCCTCCATTTTATCCATCACATTACAAACATTCAGAGTGGAGATTTCAAGGTAAGCTTGTGAAACCTCTTAAGTAAATGAAAGCTAAGCTTTAATTAAATATCGAGACACCTTTTGGTATAATGTCTAGAATTTTCTTAAGAAATTTTGCAGTTAAGCGTGCTCATCACTGAGTAATTCTGAGATGGGTGACCTAATGAGAAGTTACACAAAAAAGATAAAACCGTAAGGCTCTTAGGCAAAAACAGACAATATCTCAATAGTTAAGAGTTTGAATTATTATAAATGATATCAGAATAATATACACCAGACGGAAGATGGAAACTAAGTGTCATACAAGACAAAGTGATATGTCATGGGGCTACCTCTTGAACCCTGTATGGGACAAAGTGCTACATGACGAGAGTCACCACTTGAACTTATAGGGGGCCACCTCTAGAATCCTATATGGCTGGTGGATAATTCTAGGATAAAGATGCTAATTAACGAGGAAGTAAATTACTTAAGTGAGAGAGATTGTAAAACCTCTTAAGTAAATGAAAGTTAAACTCTTAAACACCAAGACGTCTTATGGTGTAATTATTGGAATTTTTATAATTAAGAAACTCCGCAGTTAAGCATACTCATCCCGGAGCAATTCTGAGATGGGTGAACTACTAGCTAGGAAGTTATACCAAAAAAACAAAACTGAGAGGCTCTTAAACCAAAATGGGCAATATCTTGATAGTTAAGAATTTGGGTTGTTACAAAGCTATCCTTACTCTTCACAAAATAGAAAATTTTCAAGTGAAGACTCGAACTGGTCTTCACAGCTTGAATTTTGACAACATGATCTGAAAAAAGTTTTTCGAGCGAGGAAACTAATTGGCAAAAACTTGAACTAACTCTTGTGCGGGAGTTATATCAAGTGGTGGAGCTATAAATTTATTTTAGTGGGGGTACAAATTATTATTTTTAAATATTCTCTCAATTTTTTATCTAAATTTGAGACAAATATTGAAAGTTTTTTTTTATAATTATTATTTTAAAAGGGTAAAATATAAGTTGAAAAATAATATATAACTTATAAGGCTTACTAGTTTTATTCTAAAAAGGTTTAATAATTCCTTCAATACTAATACTATCAAATATTTTTTGCTCAATGTAATGACAAAATTATCATTCATATACTAATACCCAATTCTATATCATAACCGCAGACTTTTTATAATAATCATAACAAAAAAATCTGTTTCAACTATAATATCCTAAAATCAATACAATCAAATATATATTTTAAATCAAATTCTAAAATTTTTAATATATCATAAGAAAATTTTGATTTAATATTTTTTTTTTTTGTTAAAACCCACGGAGAGGCCTACGTGTTAACTTCAAAAATCGGTTACAAAGTTCTTAAAAGGACCCACCAGCTCGCTACTACTCCGAAGAGCTACAAGAAAAATGAAAACAAAAAAACCTAAGAGCTGGTTGTTCCTTTTCCTACGATTACAAAAATAACATAAATAAAGACTCGGGCTGTGAGTAAGCAGCACCCAAAAAAGGAAGATCCGATTAATCTCGTTTAGCTCAAACTTCCTGCAAAACAACAGAAGAACAAAGAAAAGAATTGCAAAAAGAAAAGAAGAGAACCTTGCAGTCGTTATAGCTCCCAAAAAAACAGATTAAATGTATCATGCAAGAGATTCTCCAAAAAGAAACACTAATAATAAACCAGTTAATACAATAAGAAGAATGTTTCGAATTCCTACTGGGTTTCTTATAACAAAGAATGTAGACAATCTCCAGCATAAACCCCACGTTGTTACCAGAGATCCAGGCGTCCAGACAGAAATCCTGGTAAACCTCCTCCCTCAAAGATACCAAATAATATAAGCAAAGCCAACTAAAGGAACAACCAAATTCAGAACTGTTAGCATTAGTCGTAGAAACCAAAATTAAAGGCAGGCAACAATCCAGATTCAGCATATGGATCTCATCCATAGACCAAAAAAGACTCACCTTCCCAGGACTAAAACCCCTGATATTGTAAACAAATTTCTGAAAGCAGAAAATTAAAAACCATAACGAATGATTGACTAACCGTTTACCTATGATTTAATATCTTAATGTAATTTATTTTTATAAAAAAATCAGACCTATAAAAGTTGATTAAAAGGATAAAAAAAAGTCATAATTTAACTATAATTTTATTTGAAAAATAATAAATAATAATAATATGTACCCCCACCCCCTTCCTCTAACTTATTTGAATTGGCCTCCTATAAAGGAGAAATTATTAAGTGAGGTCATAGATACTGTCCAGAGTCCGAATCAGAACATGTCACATCACTTAAAAACCATAACGAATGATTGACTAACCGTTTACCTATGATTTAATATCTTAATGTAATTTATTTTTATAAAAAAATCAGACCTATAAAAGTTGATTAAAAGGATAAAAAAAAGTCATAATTTAACTATAATTTTATTTGAAAAATAATAAATAATAATAATATGTACCCCCACCCCCTTCCTCTAACTTATTTGAATATTGGCCTCCTATAAAGGATAAATTATTAATTGAGGTCATCAGATACTGTCTAGAGCCGAATCAGAACGTGTCACATCATTATTTTGTTGTATATCAATGCAATGTACAATTGTTTAATTACCAGGTGATGTGACATATCTTGATTCGTCTCTGAACGATCTGGTGACCGCACATAATAATTTCTACCTCTAAAGAGATATCACACGGTAAGGATGAAGCCGTTCGCCCCTTTTCTTTTGTAGTAGATCTAAAATTTACTGATTGCATCTATTTAGATATTTTAATAATATTGTCCTCGACATTTTAGAGCCCATATACACTTAAGAAAAAGTGGAGAAGATGACTTGATAAAATTCATATGCAATTACATTTCCTTAGAAAATGTTATTTAATTAATATATATAGCTCAATGTATTTATTTATTTAATTTATTTTCACAATAAGCATGCATCATACATAGAGTATCCCCTGTGGGTCATCCCTTCATGTAAATATATATATAGATGCCACTTCCAGATTTTTTTTTTAAAAAAAAAAAATGTTAAGAGCTAGAGGATGTACGTGCTTCATTTAATAGAGCTAGCTGTAGACAAGGATCATTTAGCGTTGGCTGATGAGTTATATAAAATAATGGAGATTGTGAAAACCAATTAAGTAATTTTATCTACAACTAATTTAGAATAGCTGTTAGATAATGGCAATAAAATTTATGAGAAGTGGATTAGGTCATGTGCTGCCAGAATTAAGTGTTTTATAATTAATATTAATGCTATTAATTAAATTAGGAATTAATTAAGGAATTTATATGCAATCATTTGGGTATTAATTATAAATAGTTTAGTTGAACATCTTAATTTGGTAAAGTCAACTTATATATTCCTTAATTTAGTTTTAAAAATTAGACATATTCCACTAATCATGAAGAGAATCAATTAATGAAAGAGAACTTTATTAAACCAAAAAATGGCTAAGCCGGCCACCCCTCTACTTATGATCTAATATACAATTTTTTAAATTAATAATTTGACTAAAGATCACATTATTAATCACTTATTCTTTTAAATATGAGTAAAAGTGTTCTTTTATTATTTATTTATTATATGATTAATTATTAAATGTCCTAATTATTTTCTACCAAGAATGACTACATGAGCCATTTAATTATTTAATAATATTTAGTTATAAATAAAAAATGGCATGATTAAAGATAAATTAAAGTGTAAATAATCCATCACACCTTTTTAAAAACTAATAAAACTAAGAATCCATATCTAATTTCTTTATTTAAGAAAATATGATTAATTCAGAACTCTAGCTAGTAAGTAGTAACCGATCGAAGAAGTATATATATGATCTTTACCCATTAAAATCTTGTGAAGCTTCACCTAGATTGAAATTAAATTAATATTACTAATTTAAATTAAAACCAATGTATAATTCAAAAAGAATTATAGCTAGTCATAATTAAAACCACATTATCTTAAAAGAAGGCTTGCTTGCCAATTGCCATGCATACACTCAGCTGATAATTATTAGGGCTTTTTTTTTTCCCAAAGCTGAAAACCAGAACAATTTTCCTTAAAATAAAAATATAAATTTAATAATTACATCTCCTCTGCATCCGAACAGTAAGTTAACTAGCTGCCATTGTTTCACTGCTCCCCAATCCGCATAGGCTCTTCATAGCCGGATGCCATAGGTATTACTGGAAGGGTGAAAGAGTTCATCTCACTCCAAATAAAGCTTTCGGATACATTAACGCTCTCATTGATCAAGCTGCTCATTCCATAGAAGAAATCAAATCCTTCAAGCTTCATTAATGAGTTATTATTAGTGAAGTTAAGTCCTTGCTCGAAAAATTCTGGACCCACATTCCTAAACGGCGAGCCATCGTTCACTATATTCTCATGGATGGAATAAGCCATTGTACTATTCACTGGAGTTTCGTCATAGATGGCCTGTGGAATTTTTAAGGAAGGAGCAACTTGGGCTTGATGGGATCCATTTCCACAGCATGGAAACCTCACATCAGAAAGTTTCATCTGTAATTTACTGATTGAACCTTGGCTGTAATGATCATTAGAAGCAAAATCAGTAAAGTGGAACGGAATTGTGCTGATGGCAGGCTGTTTAAGCCATCCGTTGTTAGCTTCATTAGAAGCACTTCCAGACTGACTATCAGCTTTCTTTTTCATCATAGCTTGCTTTAGAATGCAGGAACGACGGTTCTGTTGATTTTTGCGCTGTTTGCCGAGGAGTCTTGTCTTCAGCTTAGTGTTCCAGTGATTCTTGATGTCGTTGTCTGTTCTTCCAGGAAGATGCGCAGCTATAATAGACCATCTGAGATTAAGCAAGCTAACACAAGTTATGACTTATGATCACCCGATAACTTGAATTTCAGGAATATTGAGAGTTCTACAAATGGAAATCAAACGCATTCAAAGCCTCTTACTGTCAAACTTAATTTATATATATCTTAAAAGTAACATAGGAGAAAAAGAAAAGGGGACATATATACATCCATAGAATATTACATGCATGCGTACGAATTGAAGAGATTTATTGTGAAATATCATAAGCATAACTATTAGAGATAACACATGCAGATTCCTAATTAATCAATGAAGAAGAAGACATATGCTGCAATATTGAGCAACTTGAAGAAGACAATGGCAAATAATGTATAAAACTAGGGTTAAGGATGAATAGACCTAAATAAGTAATTAATATTAATAATGATTAAGCTTGAAAGATTTCGTACTAGGGTGAGAGATGCAGACCTTAAATTACTTTTTGAAGGAATACAATTCGAAAAGGAGAAAACTTTGAAAGATCACAATTAAATAATTAACTCGATCGATGATAAGCTAAACATGGTGAGATGAAAAAAAAAAAATTTAAAGTAAATCATTAATGAAACCTGCTTCCAATTGCAATATAAAGGCTGCATATGATGCTATCTTCTTCATCCGAGAAGCCTCCATGCTTTATATTTGGTCTAAGATAATTAAGCCACCGAAGGCGGCAGCTCTTCCCGCATCTCTTGAGACCTTATTAGAATGGAGTAATTCGTCTATTAAACCCTCAATATGGAAATCTGTATATATATATCAATACAACGAACACATCAACATATACGCATGTAAAAGTAATTACCAATCTTTTGAGGGAGAGCAATCCAGTTGCCTCCCGTACCATGCTTCTCTATGTAAGACTTAAGCCTTTCATCTTCCTCAGGAGACCATGGACCTTTCTTCACGTTGGCTTTGTCACAGCAAGGAGCTCTTCCCATCCTGATTGATTCTAATCGTTCTCCTTCTTGTCTGTTGGGGAAGAGGATGACTGGTTCTTTCTCTTTCTTTTTCCTTTTTTTTTTTTTAATTTGTTGCTTTCTTCTCTTCATGCTCTAATTTAAAGATTAAGAAAGAGGGGTCGGCGGTGTCAAGATAAAAAGTAGAGGATTATTTAGAGTTAAAGGTAGGCGGCTTTCTCTTGGTTCTATATTAAGAGTAGAATCTTTATGAAGTTTATGATCAGTGACGAGAAATTAGTGTGTCATGTCCTTCTTTTAATTTCTTAATTATTTGTTAATTATAAGAATGTTATGCTTAATCACGAGTACATAATCTGTAATCATATGAAGTATAGGACATACGTGCAAGATATATGAATACAGGGCCTGTTCAGCCAAGCCAGATATAATTCCACTTTGATGACATTGGACATGAAGAAACGCCTGGTTTCTGGATTATGCATTGGGCGAGATGGTCAGGATAATAAATTAAAAGTGGAATAATAAATATAATCTTTTAAGTAGTACTGATAATATATATATATATATATATATAAAAGCTATAACTTATTGCATATATATATATATATTATTGCTAAAATAATTTTAAGAAATCACCTGTAAAAAATTTTGTTGCCAATCCTCCACCCGGAGGAATGCATCAAATTCATGAGGATGCACCCGCAAATGAGCCCTATCAATGAAATGCCAAATAACATGCAAATCATCAAATAAAATACATCTATAAGAAAAATATGCATGAAATTATAAAAAGGCAAAATTTAAGCAAAAGGGAAATAGGTTGTATCTTCTTCCCTAATTATAAGAGAATATAACTATTAGTAACAATGGCCGAACCAAACATTTAGGAGCGAAGCTCCCACCCAAAGAGTAATGGATGAAACAATGTATGATTTCAACAATTATTTTGATGAAACATATATATATTTTCCCCACTCTCTGCTGCGTGCTAGGGTTTCCTCCAGCGCGTGGGCCTCCAGCTCTACTTTGCCTGGTTCCTGCATCTTCCTGCTGCTTCAAAGAGGCATTCCTGCATCTTCCTGCTGCTTCAAAGAGGCATTCCTGCATCTTCAAAGAGGCATTCCTGCATCTTCCTGCTACTGGAGTATATCTGGTTTCAGGGGAGTTTTATTCTACCTTATCTTTTATTTTGTTGTTTTTCGATTTGTCTTTGTTTTCGTTTGTTTCAGCCCGGGTGGCCAGAATGGCCTCGAATCGGCTCTTCTTGGATCCTAGTTTTTTAGATGGATCTAAGAAGTCACTGTCATTTTTGGATGTTTTATCTGGTAATGCGTCGGATGTCCGTTTCTCGCCGCTCAAAATGACTTCTTTCTGTGGTTTACCAGCTGTGTGAATCTCTGAGGAGATTACTTCTTTAGCCGCACCATTTCAGTTTGCTTTGGTGGGAGGTTTTCCTTCCCGTATGCCTAGTTTGGACTCCATCTAACGTTTTTTCTTCAATCTTAAGTTATCAGCTGAGTTTTCAGTTACCTTACTAGATTCGTCTCATGTGTTAATTAAATTAGCTAATGACATGTATTATAGTAAAGTTTTTTACCATCGTTCTTATCTGGTTTTCAATTACTACATGAAAATCACTAAATGGTCTCATGCTCTTGATATCGATGTGGAATCCCCGATTATTCACATTTGGATATCCTTCCCTAACCTTTGGCCCCATCTTTTCGCTCCCCGGATCCTTCATGCTTTGAGATCTTTATTTGGTCGTCCTCTTAAAATTGATACCGCCACCTCTGTTTGCTATCATCCCTCATTGACATGTTATGGTTGAATTGGATTGGCTGCTTGTTCTACTGTTCCTTAATTTGTCTCATGTGATTCCTGTTGTTGATCTCCTCTTTCATTACCTTTTATGGGTGGGTCTCCTATTGTTTTGGTGTAGCCTGTTGATGTGCTGGATTCCCCTACCCATGCTATTAAGGCCTATGATACGGGTGTGCCTACTGTCGGGCCTATGTCTTGCCCTGAACTTTCCCCTACTGCCCCTGAACCTGCTGATGATGTTCATGAGTCACATGCTATTACTAATCCTAATTTAAACCAGGTGGACTTTGTGGTGATTGGAGTTGAACCTATTTCCCAGGCCCCTCGGTTATGTGCTAGTGACGTTGGTGAATTGAATTGTGGTGTAATTTTAAACCTGTTTTGTCTTGTGCAAATTTTATTCCTGCCCCGCGCGGTTAATTTGGCTATGGATGATGTGTCTTGTGTGGTCACTGAGCAGTCTGCTTCTTTTGTTTCTCCTTTTTCGGGTATTACCTGGTTGTGCTGACCCATCCCCTTTGGTTCCTGTAATTTTGGATGCTGCCTCCTCTTCTGTTAATTTGGTGTTGGATAGGCAGGTTCATGATCAATCGGATTTAGTTTCAGATGACAGCTTTTAGGGCAATATTAATTTTGTTAATATCTCTATTACGGTTATGTATAATATTGAAATGAAATATTATGTGGCTAAGTATGTGAAAAAACTTTGTTTTGGTTCAAACTAACTGGTTGATTTTATAGGATTTCCTTTCTTTTCCTTCTATTGGGGAAGAAACTAATTATCATGGATTCGAGAAAGACTGTTTTGTTGTTCGTGGTGTTCTTAATGTGAATGGTAATAAGCAAAAAAGAAATAGGATTGGTGCTTTGGCTCTTACGATTTCGTTGGTAGTTTTTGGTGTTTTGGTGGACAATGATGAGGAGGCCCATGCTTCCCCTTGTTGGCTGAGCTGGCTGGCAACCTGGGTGTCATTTCGGCCCGGGTGGCCGGAATGGCCTCGAATCGGCTCTTTGATCCTAGTTTTTTAGATGGATCTAAGAAGTCACTGTCATTTTTGGATGCTTTATCTGGTAATGCGTCGGATGTTCGTTTCCCGCCGCTCAAAACGACTTCTTTCTGTGGTTTACCAGTTGTGTGAATCTCTGAGGAGGAGATTACTTCTTTAGCCGCACCATTTCAGTTTGCTTTGGTGGGAGTTTTTCCTTCCTGTAGGCCTAGTTTCGACTCCATCTAACGTTTTTTCTTCATCCTTAAGTTATCGGCTGAGTTTTCAGTTACCTTACTAGATTCGTCTCATGTGTTGATTAAATTAGCTAATGACATGTATTATAGTAAAGTTTTTTACCATCGTTCTTACCTGGTTTTCAATTACTACATGAAAATCACTAAATGGTCTCATTCTCTTGATATCGGTGTGGAATCCCCGATTATTCCCATTTGGATATCCTTCCCTAACCTTTGGCCCCATCTTTTCGCTCCCCGGATCCTTCATGCTTTGGGATCTTTATTTGGCCGCCCTCTTAAAATTGATACAGCCACCTCTATTGGCTATCATCCCGCACTGACATGTTATGCATGGTTGAATTGGATATCACAAAAAAATATCCAGATAAAGTTTGGCTAGGTTCCGATAATTTGGGTTGTCTTTCTTCTTCCCCTGCAACCAGGAATGATATTGTTATTGTGGAGAATGCTGGTGATGTTGTTATTATGGATTTGGTTACTCCTAATCCTTTGGGTTAGTCAGGTTTTGTGAGTGAGAGTGATGGTTCGGTTGGATTGGCCGCTTGTTCTACTGTTCCTGTGTCTCCTGTGATTCCTGTTGTTGATCTCCTCTTTCTTTACCTTTTATGGGTGGGTCTCCTATTGTTTTGGTGTAGCCGGTTGATGTGCTGGATTCCCATACTCATCACTCATGCTATTAAGGCCTATGATACGGGTGTGCCTACTGTCGGGCCTATGTCTTGCCCTGAACTTCCCCCTACTGCCCCTGCACCTGCTGATGATGTTCATGAGTCACATGCTATTACTAATCCTAATTTAAACCAGGTGGACTTTGTGGTGGTTGGAGTTGAACCTATTGCCCAGGCCCCTTGGTTATGTGCTAGTGACGTTGGTGAATTGAATTGTGGTGTTAATTTTAAACCTGTTTTGTCTTGTGCAAATTTTATGCCTGCCCTGCGCGGTTAATTTGGCTATGGCTGATGTATCTTGTGTGGTCATTGAGCAGTCTGCTTCTTCTGTTTCTCCTTTTTTAGGTATTACCAGGTTGTGTTGACCCATCCCCTTTGGTTCCTGTAATTTTGGATGCTGCCTCCTCTTCTGTTAATTTGGTGTTGGATAGGCAGGTTCATGATCAATCGGATTTAGTTTCAGATGACGGCTTTGAGGGCAATATTAATTTTGTTAATATCCCTATTACAGTTATGTCTAATATTGAAATGAAAGATTATGTGGCTAAGTCTGTGAAAAAACTCTGTTTTGGTTCAAACTAACTAGTTGATTTTAGAGGATTTCCTTTCTTTCCTTCTATTGGGGAAGAAACTAATTATCATGAATTCGAGAAAGACTGTTTTGTTGTTCGTGGTGTTCTTAATGTGAATGGTAATAAGCGAAAAAAGGAAAGGCAAAAAAGAAATAGGATTGGTGATTTGGCTCTTACGATTTCGTTGGTGGTTTTTAGTGTTTTAGTGGACGATGATGAGGAGGCCCATGCTTCCCCTTGTTGGTTGAGCTGGCTTGCAACCTGGGTGCCTCAACTTTGGATTATGGATTGTGATCGTATACTGTCACCTACGGATGGTCCATGCTAGGCTGCTTGGCTAGTGCTGGGGGCCTCCATTCCTGAGTCCCCTTTCGTTGCTTATTTTGCTCTGTTTGATTTTTGGGATTTTACTCACGGGTTGTAGGCCTTTTGTTGTTGTACATTAACCCCTTTGGGTTAGTCAGGTTTTGTGAGTGAGAGCCCCCCCCCCCTCTCAAAAAATGATAGTTAGACGATAGTGGCCCAACTATAGTGATTGGATTTCTATGGTATGATGGAGATGATCAAATAGTGGTGGTATGGGCTATGGTTTGTTGGTCATTGTCCATTGATGATGGTCCAATAAAGCTTTAATATTCTTCAAGCATATATGTTCTTTAGCATTCCATGATAAGCGTCCTCCACCATGTTGAGAGTGAAGCATATTTATATCTTTTAAGAGTGGCATAACCCCGAAATGTACCCAAAATTTGGAATGAACCATACTGACTTTATTGATAATATACTAATTTTTCAACATTTAATTAAGTGCATTAATGATGTTAAAATTATGCGATCTTAGTCTCATTGGATTCATCTCGTCAAAATGCTCATTTTAAATATATGCATAAAAGTTTTTAATCATTTTATCCTCTAATTAATGTCCAATTTGAATGTACAAATCTTAGCACCCTGAGTCATATTTGGTGTTAACATTGTGCATCGACCTTACAGGAGAGGGTGTATGTTGACACTATTGGCGACAATGGATGACAAAGTCAACAGGTGTCAGTGGGTTAAGCAATGAAACGATCGTTAGAGGATCATAATCGGGAAATGGTGATTAGAGAACTATAGTCGAGCGACAGTGATCTGGAGATCATAATCATGCTACAATAATCGAAGGACCATAATTGGACAATGGTGGTTGGAGAAACAAATTAACAATGTTAAAATTGCGCGATCTTGGGTTCGCTGGATTTGTTTCATTATGATGCTCAATTTGAATACAAGTATGCCAAAGTTTAGATCATTTAATCCTCCAATTAATATCTCAAATATTTTAATTATACTTCAAATATTTAATTTGGGCTCATTTGAACTTTAATCGAATTGCTCATAGTGTTGATGCTTTATCTTGTCGATATGTTCATTTAGACATTATATTTGCTGAAACTGGAGCCTAGAGGGATCATGAATTTTGTTCCATAAACTTTCAATTTAAATATGAATCAAAATTTATATTTGATCAAGTAGATATTATTATTATTATTACTATACCATCATAACAGAAAGTTGAGCATGAGCATAGCCATGAAAGTAGTCGTTTACTGTATCCAAGAAAAAAACCATGACTGGGTGTAATCATTGTGTGATTAGAGGGATCATGAATTTTGTTCCATAAACTTTCAATTTAAATATGAATCAAAATTTATATTTGATCAAGTAGATATTATTATTATTATTACTATACCATCATAACAGAAAGTTGAGCATGAGCATAGCCATGAAAGTAGTCGTTTACTGTATCCAAGAAAAAAGCTATGATTGGGTGTAATCATTTGTGAATTTAATCGTCTTAACAAGAGCAAACCTCCATCATTAATCGTGTTACTCAATCGAATGAGCCGTAATCATTCTGTGAATGTTTAAGGATCAAATTTAGGACTTGCAGAAAATGGGGATAGAACCCTTCATCTTTTTTATCAAGAAAATTTCTCTTTTTTAGTAGCAATCTGTGCAGTTTAGATTTTATTTGAGACGACTTTCTTACTGCTTGAAATATATTAAGAAACAATAATAAAATCGTCTCAAATGAAACCTTAGCCACTTATAAAGTTGACAATGAATTTAAGAAGCTTGAATGTTCAAAATTGTCTTGAATAATTTAGGACTTGCAAACTAGAAGCGTTTCATCATAAATTATGGGCGGATTTGTACTTAAAGAGAGAGGGGTCAATCAAGGCTCAGAATTGCCCAATTGGAAGGCAACTGGAGGATTTATTATTCTGTGCGGGGTTCGGAGTGCGTCGGAGACCAATAAAAATGGCACGTGCCACATCACCTCATTACTAAACTCGATACCCGCGATGGATACCCCTAAATATTGTTGGATATCCAGTGCTTAACTGGACGGTTCTCCCGTCCGGTGTCCATACAGAATAAAAGCTCCAACTGGAGGCTGTCGTTGTCACTGAAGGTGCATGACACACCTATGCAAAGTGCAAGCCGAACGGAATGAGGGTTGTGGCCGGGAGTACTAGGGAGGATTAAATGCAAGATAGTATTATTTGATTGATTAAGAGATTGGCATATCTTTCTTTTCTACTAGGCTTTAGACGTGTAGGTCTTTTACTGGTAATTTATGAATGATATTTGGCTGTTAAATAATACAATTAATATCTAATAAATAATATGTTCACTTCTTTTCTTTGTCCTCCCTATCTTCTTTCTCTACAGCTCTCTAAAAACATGCTTCAAAATTCAAAACCTTGTTCTAAATTATTAGAATTTGACTCAACTCATAATTAAGGAACTAATTTCAAGCTGATTTTAATCTCCAGTACATGCGTACAAATCTAGTTATTGTTGATGATTTTTTATTTCTCATTGAGTCAAATCACGACCTGATATCAACCCTATTCTATTATTACTAATTTAAAACAATATTCATATGTAACTCATCTTAATCTATTAATTAAGAGCTTTAATTATCAACTAAAAGATCTTGAATTTGAATTTTAAGTAGATGACTTATGTATGAATTTGTTTTACTAGACCTAAATTCTTAAAAATTAAAAAAATTTACTAAAAAAATAGTTTAAAAAACAGTAAAAAATTATTTGTTAGAGTAATCATTGGCCACTCGTAACCTTTTGTGATCAGTAGCTTCAGCTTTGCGGGTTCACAGAAAGGAATCGACCCGGTGTCTTTTCTGTAACCAGTGGCAAAAGCCTGCTAATGAGTAAAACATCACATAGATAGCGAAATTACTCGGGACACAGCTGTTAACCAATAAAAACAGCACAAGTTCAATCATCTGGTGACGAAAAGCTATTTAATACAACACAAAACAAAAACCCAGCAGTTAATTTCAATGGCTGCTGTAATTAAAGATGAATGAATGATTGAAATCAAACACTAAACCAAGCGATTGGGTGAGCTGTCCAAGATCTAATGATATGTTTGCCACAAGCAAGAACGAGGAGAGATAAAAGTGGTCCTCCAGAAATAGTTAGTGAATTTGAAGTTGTTAATCTACCACCACAGTCCAACACAACTTGTCCTCTGAAAGACCCATCTGTAGGCTTGTCAGTGCAGAGTAGAGCTGCTGAGACACAATACCTACTCCGTCTCCATACTCCACCCTGCAAAGCAATCATACTATGCTTTATCATCTTAAGGCCAGACTCTTTATATATGAGTTTTAGTTTAAAAAACAAAAAAACAAAAAAACAATTTTGTAGTCTTTGTATAAATCAACAATTACCGACAAACTATGGAGAAGAAATAAGCTTCATCTATCAAAAAACAAGGGTATAAGATGTGCTGAATCGCACAACTTCTCCAGAATCTCACGGTTAAGAACAATGTTTTCTAAGCTTAATGTCATACACATTGGATTTTGTTTCAAGGTGCATAAAACCAAAAGATAAGTGGCGTTTTTTTTTTGCTAGAGCTCTCATAATTTGTATATGTTTTCCACACAAAAAGCATTTTTTAGGGATGGCTTCACCCATCCTCGGGCAAGTTAGATTTCACTTAGACCGGACTCTTAAATTTTCCCTAAATTAGTTCGATACTAATCAAATTAATTTGAACTCATCAGCCTCCTATTATTAGCTTGACATCATACAGTCATCCGCCCATATCTTATCCTTCTCGGCCCTTGCCGAAAGCTCAACATCCATAGATCTATCAGTTTGGCTGCCTCCCAGTCAACAACTTCCCGACGAGACCCAATACCATGAAGTCGCCAACCTGGCATTTTGCCTCCTCGATGCCTGGCCGAAAGCTTAACATCATAGGGTTGTTGGCTTGGCTGCCATTCGATCAACGTCTTCCTGACTGTTGACCTGAACCTAAGCTAAAAAAAATGAATGCAATAAAATAAAAACAAAATACCTGCTCAAATCCTGCCCATCCCGATGCTACTACAGTGCTCATATCCTGCAGTCAGCGCCATTTCAGAGCCAACTACGAGCAAATCCCGCTCTCGATCCACACTCTGCTCACGTTGATAAAATGAAGAGCTTTGGCTCTCTTCTACTTGCACGCTCTCTGCCAAAGTCCACTATGACGTGCTCTCTTCATCACGCTCGAATCCCTTCCTCCTCACTCCCGGTTTCTCGTCACCTACTATCCAAGCCCGACGACCTAGCCGCACAACCCGTCCTAGTAGTGGCACAACTTCCCTATCTTGGTGCCAGTCTTTCGATCTCCATCCCATTCTAGTCCCTCAACAATCCTGACTCCACAACAGACAAAGGCCTCCTCTTCGCAGCCATCTAGCTATAGCCGCAAGAAAACCTCCAATTCCAACCCTTCCTCACGCAAAGCCATTCTCTTGTGCCAAACTCACACCAATTTCAGGCCAAACCCAATCCTATAACTCGATCCTACACGCGAATCAGAGCCGCATTTGACCTATTTCCTCCTGCTCTGATCATAGCAATCGGTCGAAGCCTCTGATTCACCTTTGCAAAACAAGCTACACCTCTGTGGGCTCCGAAAATTCAGCCCCGGCCTCCGCCCGCACTGTTTATGCTTTTTTTTTCCTTTCGGGGAAGTTTTAACTAATTAGTTCTGGGATAAATTTTGGAAGGCAAATGGGTTTGTAGAAAAGACACTACCCAGAGATTTCGCCCTCATTTTGTGAGGACTTTATGATCTGAGTTCTGGTTTCCTATAGGAGCAAGCCCCTACAGTTAATTACCCCTCCCAATAATGAGAAAGAACTTTCGATTAAGACTAACAATCAATCAATAATAAGTGTTGGAGCAAGAGGCTCCGCTTTTGAACTTATATAATACTATGTTGAATGTTTAGATAAAAGAAAGAATAAGATAGACCCCGAACAAAAATCATATTTTGATTTATTACTATTTTGGGTGTACAATTTTGTTGTAAGATAAAGCTTACTCATGTATGTCTATTATGAAAATTTGATGATATACAAATGAACCATGAATAAATAAATTTTCAAAAATGCTTCCATTAGTACATTTTATAAATTTTTAAAATTATCATTTTAGATATTATGGTATACAAAAAAATAGTACATGTCGTTGTTCACCTCGCATCAACCTATAGGGATAGTCGAGGGTTGTGACACAGCATGAGCACCAGTGCTAACCAATGCAGACTACATCGACAAGCAGTTCAGACGAGACACCCAGCACCATACAAGGAGAGCCGAGAGCACAAGTGACTGTGCATGCAAAGAAGGGTGCTCCAGACAAGAGATTTGTGACCACATGTAGTGGAAACCACAGCTCACGAGCACTTTGTGTGAGCAATAAGGTGGGAAGAAAGAAGCCTCGCACAAGGCATGAGGATCAGGAGCATAAGTCCCTCACTATAATTTACTGAGGATCATAAGTGAGACAATAACTAGATTTTTGAATATTTAGGCATGAACAATATCTTAGTGACACCACAGCCGTAATTAGAATACCTATTGAGAAATCATTGTCCTATCCTTCCAAACTATCAAGCATACAATAATATAAAAATCATGCATGATCAAACCTGGCCTTAAGTTGTAATTCAAGAATATTACTTAAAAGATGAATTAGATGAAGATTATGATTATATTTGAACTCTTTCAAGAATGTATTAAATTTTGATCAAGAGTTATAATAGAAATTTGAGTCTGCAATCTAATTGTGATGAATTTGAATATATAACTATGTTAGAATTTTTTCAAAAACCTACACTTAACTTGAGCAAGAGTTACAGTTGAACTTGAAGCTCAAGTGAAATCAATTCAAAGGAAATAAAGCCTATTTTTGAACAATAGTAAGAATTTGAGCCCGGAATTAAATTTGAGTGCGAGAATCATTATGAATATAAATCTCAAATCAAAATTAACGTATAACAACAAACAGAACCAATAACATCCAAAAAGAAACATACAGTGACAAAAAAAAGTACAACGTTAACTCAAACGACAGTAATGTTTCGGTTTCTCGGGCAGATAACTAACGAACATAAAGCAGAAAAATGGATGCAATCCGCGAGAAAGGACCATGCATAGTAATCTCAGATGCACGCAAGGCAATTCTAACATAAACTTATAGGAGGATTCTATTATTTTCATTTGAATACAATCTATTCAAAGCAAAATGTCAGACAGTCATTTCACGCCAAGAGAAAAAAAATGGATGGAAAAAAATTACCTTTTTCCAAGGTATGTAATACTCCCCACAGGGGATACAACCACAGCTGTTCCCGTACAGAAAACTTCATCAGCCTCAAGCAATTCATCTATGGCTACAAGCCGCTCCTCAACCTTCGCAAAAATGTTATTTACTTGTTAAGACATTCAGAAAAATTACCCACATATTTTAGCTTGCTCTAAAAAATAATTCATCCAAAAATTTTTGATGAGGAATATTCACAAAAATAAATCACGTTAGAACCTAAAAATATATAAAATTTCTTAGAACATGACAGATTGCATAGCAGGAAATGTGACGCAGAATTAAGACCAGGAATTATGATCAACAAGAACAACCTTACCTGTATAACATGAGTTCATGAAAAGACTACAACAACAACAACAATAACATCAAGGTTTTATCCCACTACGTGGGGTCAGCTACATGAATCCTGATGTGAAACCAATTAGGAATTGCACGTAGAAATTTATAAAGATTAAATTAGGCGTTGTAATGTCAACCAATGTTTCACTTAGAAAAGATTTTACGAATTGAAAGTTCTCTAAATTGATATGACAAGTAATTACATATTAGAAGAACAAGATCTGAAATAATATCAATCATAAAATGGAAAAGCAAGTGCAATAAACTAACAATCCACCACGTAACAAAGAGAAAAGTCAACTCGAGTTTCCCTCACTCGCGCTCTTTATGATTTTAGCGGAAGAATAATCGCCACAATCCGGAAGACGACACCACAAGGAAGAGGAAGCCTAGGGTAGAGATCCAAGGAAAGCTAGCCGGAGGAGTTTTGTGAAGACGACTGGTGATTCGCCAATGCCCGGTTGGAAGGCGCTCCTCGATGGAAGGTGCCAATGTGAAGAGGATGCGGTCAATGTATCCGTCAACGGTCTCGTCAACCGTCATTTTCACATCAAAGAAAGGAGAGTGTAAGAGATCCGTTCATCCTTGACCATCATAAACGAAACCATGGTCAACTTCGGGATTGGCCATGCACTAGTGGGAAATTGGAGGGAAGATGCTTGTTCTTTCCTTGCAATAGAGCTCATGAGAATTGGAAAATTCCAAGAGGGAGGACAAGGGAGAGGGTCGGCCAAGAGTAGAGAAAATTAGGGCTATGTGGGGTCTCGGTTTTGGGATATGGAAAGAATATTCAATCTGAATTTAATTTCATATTCAATTATATGGGGAGGGAATATAACCTGAAATTCAATTTCAAATTCAAATAAAAATTAGGGCTTCAAGAGGAAAGAAGGGCAATTGGCCATGGAGGGGGGCCGGCGGCATGTAGATAGAGGGAGGGGTTTGGGAAAGGGAATTTAAAGGTTTCCTAAAAGTGTTATCCAATTTAGGAATAAGAATATTAAATCATATCTAATTTAAATTAGAATTAAACTTAAAGTGATGTAAAACGGGTAGGAGGCGTTACAAAGGAGAGGATCTCCTCTCCCAAAATCTGAGAGAAATCAGATTTCTTGCTTGAAAGAGGGAGAACAAACTCCAAACTCCTCTTATAGAATCTGAAAACTGTTTCAGATTCCAACAGAAATCTGAGAAGAAATTTCCGATTATGCAAAGTAAGAATAGGAGCTTGGAAGAAGAGAACTCAAGGCTTCAAAGTGCTTGGCTTAGGCAGAGGGAGAGAGGTGATTGGAGAGAGAGAGAGAGAGTTGATCGGGTGAGAGAGGATTCCAGGATTGGATTCCAGAAATAAAGGAAAACAGAATTTGGAAAGAATTAAAGAGGTGGGGCTGTGAGGGGATTTCGTCCAGGGAGAGAATCTCAGGTTTTGAACTTATTTCCCAAGAACCGGCTGTTTATGGAATTGGATGTGGGTTGCTTCTAAATGACCAAGTCAGGTTTTAAGAAAGAATTTAATATTTGGCCCTGTAAAAAAAAAATTTCGGCTGCTATGTCTTGGAAATATTTCTACAGGAAAGAGGGGCTTAATGTAGGAAAGATTTCCTAAGTTAAGCTAACGGTGAGAGAGTGATTTGTGGAGGGAAAATCTTGAGTTAATGAGGGAGGCGGCAATGAAGAGGAAAAAGGGGGGGAAGAATTAAGTCTATTTCCAAAAGTGAAATTACCCTTTTGGAAACAAATTAATCCAAGCAAAATGAGGGGAAAATTCGGTCAAGGGGATTTGGGTAGATTTAATAGGCTAGGAATATTAGGTAATTACTCAATTAAATTTAATTTGAATTTGAAATTCAAATTTGAATTTGAAATTCAAATTTGAATTTGAAATTCAAATTTGAATTTGAAATTCAAATTTGAATTTGAAATTCAAATTTGAATTTGAAATTCAAATTTGAATTTGAAATTCAAATTTGAATTTGAAATTCAAATTTGACTTGATTGAAGAACTTTCCTAAAATAGACTCATTAAATTTGGAAAGATTTTGAAAATTCTCATTTAGAAATTTTGAATTTTAAATCTATCCGCATTCAATTTTAATCTAAAATAGGAAACAAACTTGGATGGGGAAGGAGGAGATTGACCGGCGGCTAGGGGATGCTGGCCGTGGGCTTGGATGGGAAGGGTGAAGCTCGGGTGGGGTAAGATCCGGCGGCTATGGTGAGGATTTTAGTGGAGCTTGTTGTGGGGGAAGAGTGGGGAAATTTTAGTGGGTGAATTGGATGCGACGAAGAAGAACAAGGAGGGTGGTGAGTGAAGACGAAAATACAACGAGAAAACCACGAACCCGGCCGTCTCCAAGGTTGGTGGGTGATACGATTTCCCTCTCCAAGGGATCTCAAATCACGAGCCCGGACCCATCCTGCGGCTGGTTTCGAAGTATCAAATTGGCTATCAACACTCAGAATAAACTCTATCGTATATATTATGCACAACAAGAGGTTGAGAGAGAGATGATGTTGAGGAATAAGGGGTTGAAGGATGATGAGGACCCGTTGGTGTGTGATGATGTGTCGTCTGATAATGAGTGGTTCATAGATGATGAGGCAGATTTGTCATTATCAGACTTACAGCTAGAAGATCTAAATGTGGATGTATTGAGGGGCGAAGCAGATCAAGTGGGTACATCCACTAGTACCACACCACACACATCCACTAGCTCTGCAGCACAACAATCAAGTAAAGGTATTCCACAACTTTTTATATGCTATTGCATTACATTTATATCAAGTGAGCAATTAACATGCTAATGATCTTTTCTTTTATTGAACAGGGAAGAGAAAAGTGAGTCATATTGAAGATGATGATGACATGACATTCATAGATACAATTGGAGAAGAATATTCAATTGAAGACCCATTTAGTGATGGGATATGATTGCATTTTATATGTTTTTTGTACTTTGGGAGTTTCGTTGAACTAATATTTTGTGATTTTGTACTTTGGGACATGATTTTATTGCATCTACTTTCTTATTTTCCACTATTTTCATATATCATTTAGATGTTTTTATTTTAAAGTACAAAATTGCTATTATTTTCCTGCTAAAACCCTTAATTTTTCATTTACGCAATTCTGTGTCCGTGAGGCTTACGCCTCAGACCGCCTCGAGGCTTACGCCTCGCCTCACGGACGAAAACCGCCTCGAGGCTTAATTACGCAATTTTAAACCTTGGTCTACCTCTACTTTTCTTAACATAGGTTAAATCTAATACATCTAATCTCCTAACCGGATCATCTGAAGGCCGCCGTTTTATATAACCAAACCATCTAAGGCGACTCTCTCTAATCTTATCTGTCACTGGAGCTACTCCAACCTTTTCACGTATATGCTCATTCCGTATCCTGTTTCTAAGAGTAAAGCCACTCATCCACCTGAGCATCTTCATTTATGCAACACTTAACTTAATATTATGCTTCTCTTTTAATGGCCAACTTTCTATGCCATAAAGCATTGCATGTTTAACCACAATCTTATAGAATTTTTCCTTAAGTTTGAGTGGTACTTTTCTATCACACAACAAGCCCGATGCATTCCTCCACTTCATCCATCCAACTTGAATTCTACTACTAATATCACCATCACTTTGAAACCAACTCAACTTCACTATTTTAAATATTTTTTATGTAATACATCATCATTCTATTCAATTAGCTCTTGTATTTTTTTCCCTTTAACATTAACACATAATAATTTCTCAAATATTATTTTCATCTTTTCTTTTGCAATGAATTGGCCAACAGGATTAAAACTAGAAGATTTTGAACAAATCCAGTAAGATTACCTGTAATACTATCATTCAAGATTAGAAAAATGAAAATTAAATACCTGAAATCCTTGGCTTTGAGCAACTTCAATTATACTTTTCCTTGTAATCCCAGGTAATATTGTTCCCTTTATTGCTGGAGTTGATATGACTTTGTCCTAAAAAATGAATAGTCAGTTCTAAAAGTAAAATAGACCAGCAAAATAGCTAGTTAGAAGCATAAAAAACATTATGTAATTATAGCCTGAATAACTAATTTTTAAGTCATAGACAATGCACTGAACACAAGATGAGATCAAAATGTCCAGAAGCCACGAAACCTAGGCCACTTTTGAATTTAACACAAAACAAAAAGAGGGAAGATAACAGGAAATTCAATCAATAAAAGAAAAACTATGATGGAAACATCCGATAAATAATGTCAAATGCGGTTTAAAAAATTTAGCTTCTCACAATATAACGACAGAGGAGTGCTAAGCACTTTGCTGTAATGAGCAATGTATATACCTTTACAACAAAAACATTACAGGATGACACTTCTTCAAGGTATTTCTTGTGAACCGAGTCGAGATACAGAACATCAGAATATCCTTTCGCTTTGGCTATAGATTGTGCCTTTAAAACCTGAATAAAAAAAAAAATGCTTAAAATTTTCAAGCAGAACAGATGAATGTAGGGATTTTCCAAGGACCAGACGTAAAGAATTTCTTCTCATATCATTCTTATCTCAATTATTTAGGTATTGATTAATAAATTCTCATTCTCCATTCATTTTTTTTAATTTCTACTGGTGCTCAATCTATTTTGCAGGAAGAATTTTTTGTTATGAGAAAATTAATATATATATATATATATATATATATATGAAAATCAAAGTATGTTTTAAATTGAAGCTTGATTCGCAGTAAGAGAACAATGGAAGGAATATCAAAGGAAAACTTCGGTTGAAAAATGTGAAAATCCCAAACTTAAATAAAAAGCTTTAATCGATTGAGAGAAATAGAAAAGGCTATTTTCCTGTTTAGTACAAAAGACCAAGTTAATGAGAACTTTAACCTTTTCCACAATATAACCTTCTTTTAGGTAAACACGTCAGTATATCTTCATCCAAATCTTCCAAGCAAAAAGAAATAAAAAAAAACCCACTTGGATGTGCTATTGTGATGGAATAAATAACATCAAAAGCACGGTTAGATAGCTTCTTAGAAGCCATAAGAGTACTCGAGTAATTTCAGCCTATTTTGGCATCTATAATCGTCTTTTCAAGAGTCAATTATCTGATTCCCTCATATGAAAGCGGTTCAGACCTCTACATCTTATTCTTTGCTAGCTTCTATGTATAACAACCTAATCATAAAATGGTGAGAAGGAAGAAGATACACTGTTAAACTTGATCAAATTACATCTATGACGAATGTTAGAGAATCCAGTAACAAGAATCTTAAAGCATTGCAATAAAATCCCAAACTAAGCACAAACTTTATCAATCATGACTTAATTCAGGTTAAACGAAAACCATGTCCAGAAACCACATTAATATTGAATCAACAATAAAAACTCGTCCAATGCTTTGAGATAATGCTAAGTACGAAAATTACACAATCTAAGGAATCAGAGCTTTTCATTACTACCGGTAAATTTTCTGATAGCAAATCTAGAGACAACTAAAATAACTGCAGTAGGAAGCATTTCCACAATTCTACTTTTGATGATGTTAGTTGAGAAATTCGTTAAAATGCTATATGACGTCTCAAAACTGGAACATAATAAACAAATTAAATTTATGTTATAAAAATTTGTTGCGTACAGTAAAGAGGTTTCTCACAAGTATTTACCGCAGCATAATTTCCAATAGTCTTCACGCCTCCAGTGCCACCAGGAATTGCCCGATGAAATTCATTTTCAACTATTAAGTTTATTGGTGCTAAACCCTCCTGAACTTTTTAAAAGAAATGCAAACATCAGTGACATCTGACCACTAACAGTATACTGCAAATGAACACCAAAGAATATAATTAATCAAAGGCACGCAAAAGGGAAAGCGAATTAGCAAGGCACAATTTTCAAACAGATCAAAAGGTGACCTTTTCATCTGGAAGAATTAGTGCTTGATATGAATCACCAAACAAAAAAGAAATGGTCTCTTCCATGAAGTTCTCAGTAGTAAATCAAATGATGGTAACTACGGTCTCTTGAGCTTTTTAATGACTTATTTAAAAACGGAATTCATGCATGAGAGAAAAGGAAAAGAAAAAGAAAAAATATAAAAGCAAATATTTTTTTTTTCTTTTTTTATTTTTTTTATATAAAAACAAATATATTAATACAGAAAACCTTGCTTCCCATGTTTCTGTTTATGCGTGTTTGGCGATGGATGTATAGGAACTACATGAAAGTGTAAAAGTAATAAATGACATGAATATGGGTTCCTTATGTGGACGCAATGTAGAACATAGGACAAGTACCTTAAAAGAGTGTTTTTATTTTGACAAACCTTGAAATAATTCCCAACGGGAGATACAAAAATAAGAAATGTGTACTCAGGGGCTGGTGCAAGTCCAAGGACGGCCCCACTGCCCATAAGCAAAGGTCTAATGTACAATGATCCTTTCCCTGGAGGGGGGACCTGCATGAAAGTGAATCTATTCAAGAGAAAAATCGGCAGATTACTGCTTGGTAATGATAGAACATAAAACATGAACTGGACAATACCCAGCGTTTGTTAGCCAGAACAGTCTCCTTTACAGCATCCACAAAGTGCTCCACAGTTGGTGATGGCATGCACATCCGCTCAGCACCAGTCCTCATCCGCCAAGCATTTTCCTCAGGCCGAAATAGTAAAATTGATCCATCTTCTTTCCTGTATGCTTTCAAACCTTCAAAGAGTCCCTGAAACAGAATAATGATACTCTAATTGATGCAATAAGAAGTATTGCATGCTAGAAAATTCACGGTCATAAGGTGAGAGTTTTATATTCTAGCTTTGCACCAAAATCCAACAAACAAATAAATAAATAAAAGGAGTACAAAAAACATCATAGTTTTTAGGTGGAAAACCTAGCTGATTTAACCAAAATTTATAAGAAGCTAAGGTTGCAAACAAAGATGACGTCTCCCTTTCGAAATTTCATAAACATATACAAATAGAACAAAACGATACTATTATATCCCACAATAGTTTAAACAAACACTTGGATTCCTTACAACTTCAAATAGAAGGATATAACAACACCTTACAACTTTTCATAGTTTGAGAAGAAAGATACAATGGGAGGGTTATCATGGAGAGAAGAATTAGATAAGAAGGTTGAGACGAAGTTTTAGAGGAGAAGGGGAAGGAGACTAACTCGCAAGCTAGTAAAAAAACCCTCAGGTTTTCTTTCCAAAAATCATCACCAAAACTCTCCAAAAACAGCCCAAAACTCGTCGAGAGCGACAATCAGGTGATGCTCAGATGATGGCAGTTGGGTGGTGGTTCAATGGCAATAGTCCAATGGTGACAGCCTGACAGTGGTGCTCAGGTGGAGCTTTGAGATATTCAAACCTCTGAGTTCTATTGAATCTCAAGCCAATGTCCCCCTTCATATAGAGACTAAGTGCCTGTATATATATTTAAGTGGCATGCCCCATATATATGGAGAAATCAGAAATACTCTATCAAACTATCTATATTGATTCCATTTATCATAGTCCACACTCTTTCTACATTTAAGTACCTTAATAATGTTGAAATTAAACGATCTTGAATCAGTTAATTTGTCTCGTCAAGAAGCTCAATTTGGCATTAAGAATGCAAGATTTGAAAAATCAATTGTTCATCCAATTAATATCTCAAAATTTATAATTATGCGACAAGTGCATGATTTGGGCTTATTTGGACTCGGGTTGCTCACTTTTAATGTTGATATCTTTACCCTTCTATTTTCGAATATCAAAGCTCGTATCAACAGAAAATATATTTTTAAGCCCTCTTAAAAGCTTCATAGCACAATAATTATAATTTTGAAGTACTCATTGAGTGACTCTCTCTCTTTCTCACAAATTCCCAAGAGATAGGAAGAGACCATGAAAATTCTTCAATTTGCAATGAATTGTTCGACAAAACCTGACAAACTTAACTAACGTGTGGATGGTCTCTCCCTAAATAGAGTAGAACCATGTGCAAGTTTGCCCCTTGAGGGTATCGATGAAGATTTGACAAAAGACGGCATTTGAGGCTTGTTGCATGTGCATGGTGGTTATGTAGTGATCGATATATTCATAAGGGTCGAACATCCTATCGTAAGAGTCAATGTTTAACAGCTTGAAACTTATTAGAATTGGGTGTTGAAGAGCTTTAATTAGAAGTGATGACTCTTGAAAAAATACAATGAAGAGAGAGCTCATTTTCATGCCTTATGAGAAATTCTACTTTGACCAAGTGTCGTAGAACATCATGCAAAACATTATGAAGGGAGTCGCCAATGAGGCGAGGATGAGCCAAGTTCCTCGTGATTGTTGGAGGAGTGTGAGCTATGCAAGATGGATGGGTAGAGCTAGTTATGTCAATGAGATTGACATCATGTTGTGATAAAGGAATAATTGTTTGATGGTGAGGGGATTCTCTATAGGTGTTCTCAAGCTGGATAATCTGATGTGGTAGTTGATCCTAATGGAGGTGGGTCTCTTCATGCTATATCGGCTTTTGATGCCGAGTCCCCAACGAGAGCTGAAAGATTTCATTCAGAGGCTATTCTATCTTGTAATATATCTTCCACGAACAGAACTGATGCATCTTTGCAAGTAGGATTACGCCCATCAAGGTAGAAAGTGGCAGAGGCTTGGCATACATAGTTTAAAGATTGGTTCTTGGAATAATAAGTGTTGGAGCAAGAGGCTCCGTTGTTGCAATTTTCATTCTTGTTGACCATCTAACAAGTGTCCATAACGATAGTGGGATAGGTTCATGTAAATGACGTCAAACTGTTGCGTACAAGAAAATTTGCAGTAGTAGAGTACGAAAGTTTTGCATCCTAGCTTTGCACGCAAAGATATAGCACGTACAACAGAGTTTTAATGTGAAAATCCTGGAAAAAGGAGAATCACAAGGTTTGACCTAACTAAAATGATTCATTATGTTAATTTTAATTACAAATGTTTGCTCGTCCCTTGATTTGGAGATGACAAATTTACAAAAATATTGGGGTTGGCAGAAAATATCATAGTCGACATGGAATAAAAAGTGTTCAAATGATTGTGGCTGAGAGACAGCAGTCCAACAATGTTGGTCGAGTAGCGGGGGTCTACTGATGGCAGTGGTTCGACGACAGTGTTGAGTGATAATGGTCTAAAAATAGCATTTGGGCAACGATGATTCGATGGGTGTGGTCGATAGCAACGATCTAATGGCAATAATTCCACTATGGCGATTGGGAAGTGATTCTATGGTTCAAAGATAATAGTCGAATGGTGCTCTGAGGGCAATGATCAGGCAATGTTCTGATAACAGCAGTCAAGTGAAGGTCCGAGGTTGGTGGTCCAATGGTAGTGCTCAAGTTGAGCTCTGGAATTCTTCAAGTCTTAGAGCTCTTTTGAATCTCAAGCCAAGAGTCTTTTTCATGTATATAATGGTTTTGAGAGTGATATGCACAATAAATATGAAAAAAAAATCCAAAACACTATCAAATATTTCGTATTAATTCCTTTTATCACAATATATTCTTTTTGCATTTAAGTGCCTTAATAATACCGATTTTGGGCTCGTTGGATTCATCATGATGAGATGCTCGATTAAATCATAAGCACTCGAGATCTAAAGATCATTTGGTTGTCCAATTAATATCTCAAAGTTTCTAATAACATATGAAGTATTTGAATTGGGCTTATTTGAACTTGGAACAGCTCATTTTGGCATGGATAGGTTCGTCTTGTTGAGAAGTTCGATTAGACTATAAGTTTGTTGAAATCGGAGTTTGGATGGTCCTGAATTTAATTATGAAACTTTTCAATTCAAATATGGATCGAGATTCATGCCCAATCAAGTCAATTTTTCATGGCATATAGGTTCTTGAACTCAAACCATATTAACCCAAGTTATACTTATTCCCAATGCTTTCCAACACTCAAGATGCAGATGAAAAGATTGACGTTTCATTGAATGACTATTATTTCAAGGGCAATGCAAAGATATCAATCCATAATCTCATATAGTAGGCTTAATAAAGAATTGCTTTTAGCAGTAACATGGCAAGTTGAAGTTCGTGAAAGTTAATTCTTACTAAGCTAAATAACCAATTACAACCAGAAGATCACTAAGAAATCAATGAACTTATTTAAAATATTAAAAAATTAATAATATCAAGAAATGCTCTACTTGTCCATAATTTAAGATCCCAGCAGATGGGCACATCTGAATGGGTCCAAAACGCTGCAATCCCCCTTCTGTGAACACTCCATCTCTGGGTGACTTGGCAATGTACATATAATCAGTTGGAACTAGTCCAAATCCAAGATTATCCCAGTTGATATCAGCCAATTCGGATGCTTCCCTGCAGGATATGACTACCCAACTTATCACGAAGAAACAGCATAAGAGGTAGAAGAATATTAAATTTGCAATAACTTAAAAAGTCATAATGCAAAAAGAAGAATCTTAAAACAATCACAAAAAATTGTGCAGCCGGAAGGGAAAAGATTTTTGAGTAAAACGTAATGAACGAAGCCGTACTTTTACAGCCAATCTTATTAGAATATTACTGAAATATGGCCAGCAGGACCAAGGAGTGTGTGGCAGTCTAGAAACCAGAAACTGCCTTAATTTTTGGTACAGTAATCAACTAACTGATAACAATACAGCCAAAAATAGAGCTCCAAGACAACACGGCAACCTTTATTTTTCCCAAGTGCGGGACATAATACCTTGAGATCCATAAACTAACTTTTATTTGGCCAGAAAAGACACCATTCTTTATAACTATTAATCAGCAAACAAAACAAACCAATTAAAATGGGAGAATGTATAATGGCACTATTGAACATAGATCTGCATCCCATACACAACTATTGATACATGAGTTGGAAAATAAGGTGAAACAGTATGAAAGAGGCATCATCAGCTCAAGCATCAGGTCTTTTTTCAGATTTAGCATCTCAAGATTGCATAAAGTTCATCCATATCCATAGAGTTCTGTAAATTTGCATGTCAAACCAAAAAAGTTTACACAACTCTTTTTCTTATTGGTTTAGTTAAAGCATTGAAAGTAGTAGGTACAACACGCATGGTTACCAACTGCCTTAAGAGAGAGAGTTCCACTTAAGATTAGGCAAACGCTAAAAAAAAAAAGTTGCTTTATAGCCGATAATATCCAAACTTCGTTGAAGGATCAAATTTCCCCAACCTTGCATATATGCCCCACCAAGATTATTTTCTAATGAAAAATGTTTGGAAAGAACAAATGTAACAATCGATCTGCAACTGGGAATTCATTCACTCTGTGCTCCACGGGTTATTTTGTTAAGTTCAAACAGATGATTCCAACACCAACAACAACAAAAGCCTTCATCCCACTATGTGGTATCAGCTACAATAATTTTTTTTTCTATTCTATTAAGAATCAAATTCTCATTTTAAATTAGATCATCCCACCATCAGGGATTATTTGTAATATACATAATAAAAATTAAAATTGTATGTAAAATAACCTGGGTCTCAGAAAAAGATTCATGAAGTTAGTAGGCCGTGCTTTTGAAAAGACTGATTTATTAGGTAGTAGGTCACGCTTTTGGGCAGAGAATCATAGAAGAAGTAGGTGGATACTATTAGAAAAAACAGATTATCAGCAAGTGCATCTCGTCATGATCCTCATAGCCTAAACCCAAAGGTTTACAGCCGACACCATAAATCCTTCGCTATTGAATTTTTTGTTGAGTGCTATATGAGGTGATATTCTAAGAAAAGGAAATCTCACAAGCATTCCTTGTTTTATGCTCTTCTGAACCGAATTTGCTATTTTTATACAGTATTTTGTTTGGGTAAAAATCTACTTGAAAACAGTAACAAAAAAGGGTAAGTAAATGTTACAAGCAAACATACATACATGTGTTGCGGATGAAAAGAAAGAAATAAAACGGGCAGCATGAGGTACAAATATTTTGCATGAAATATCTGCGTACATACTGGATGGTGCTTGTTCGGCTTGCTTCACATCTTGCATTTGATCCCATTAAAGCTGCAGAAGACATGAAGTGAAGCTGATTCTGAACCTACAAAGCACAAATGATTTCTTATTTGTAAGTAAAAATATAAAGCATTATGCATTGAAATATTAAAATTCAGGAACGTGGTCTCAACTTAATAGCCATCCCAATACAAACTTTATTCAGTTGAATTTTCTAAATCATCTTTTCTTTCTAAATCATCTTTTCTTCTCACTAATAAGAACACTATGTAAGAATAGCGTGTTTTAGTAGCCATTAATTGCAATCAGGAAAAAAAATGGTCCGCAATTCAAAGAGAACAAGGCATTATTATCACATTCTATAATTCATAGCAGGATCCCTAAACTTTTATTAAAATGAAAAAAACGTGATGAAAACTCACCTAAGACAATGAGCCCTATATTGCTATCAGGAACAGAATCCCAATACAATTCCACAAGATCTGCTATCCCAAAATATACATCAGTTGATGTAGCACAACGAGAGCACTTTCATCAAAGCATCACATCAAGACATCGTCATCAAGAAAACAACACAATGCATGATCAAGGCTTGAATAATAGCATGGAATCAAGATGAAGAAGGCATCGTGATTATCACCATAATCAACATAAATCTCAAGAAAGATAAGTGGTCAAGCCCTTCATGAAGAAATCAAGCACATGCTTAATTCCAATACCACTTCAAAGGCAATGCAATCTTAGATAAGTTCAAAGCACATTTTCTGATCATTTTTGCAAGACCGCATCAACTTTTATTCTATAAAGCAGAGTTATTGGAAATGGGATAGAGCTGATCCAACGAAAATACAGCACTTTCATTAAAACACAAAATCAATATTGGAGCAAGCATCATCATCAAGTACAGATCACAAGGCATGATCAAGGCTTGAATAAAAGCACAGAAACAAGATGGATGACATATCATGATTATCATCATCATCAATAATATAAATTGCAAGGCAACCAAGTAAGAGGCAGCCCCTTCATGAAGAAATCAAGTGAATCTCAAATTCCCAGAACTAAAACCACTCCATTTTTCATACGAGCCAGGGACGTCCGACTACCTTCAAAAGCTAATGAAAAGAACTCCAAATTTTCCTATAAGAAGGTGCAAAGTTTGGTCATTTCATGCTTCGATCAAGGGGGAGAATGGAAATTAATTGAAGATTAGAACCACTCGCTTTCCTTTTTTTTTTTTTAGGGGGGTGCAAAATCTATGACTATATTATTTATTTACTTTAAGTTACATTCTTTCTTTGCTTGCTGTGCATGTCAGTATGTCACCAATCCATGTAAACTAAGTGATCAAAATTAATTTTTAAATAATGAGAAATTCCCCTGGATTGGAAACCCTTGAGACTATAATAATTAGTCATGTACGATTGTCTTTATTATTGTTGAATAAAATCACTTTTGCTGGTACAACACTCTAATGGAAAAGCTTGAAGAACCCTACAGCTTGGAGTGGCTGAGTGGTTAATCCGTAAACTCTAGCCACCATACTAATATAATTTTCCTCCAAAAACCTAAAGTCCATGGCCACCCCCTCCTCTTTAAATAACCCACTTGGCCAAACCTTAAACCCTACAACAAACAAAGCCATAAATCCACTTTGACAATGACCAATCATAACACCAGCCTTGCCATATCTACTTGCTATGTTTGGATCTTAAGCCCCCACAAGCTTCAAGAGCCATCACCCATCAAGATTCTCTTTTAGCGCTTACAATAGTAATGTATACTAACGTATCACTCAAAATTTATCCAATTAGTCCTAAGAATTACAACATGAACAGCTCAGTTTAATACAAGAAGCACTCTAACATAATAGCTTAGCAAACTCTACCATAAAGACATAATAAAATACGCACATTTTTGGCGTTCCATCCTTCAATTTAAAGAAATGATATTCTGCATACATACAACATCTTAGGCAATCACTCACACCATATGCATAACAGCCCCTCCCCCACAATTATCATTGCCACACCCACAATTATCATTGCCACAAGGAAACAAAAAAAAAAAGACAACATAATATAGGAAAAATAAAAAAAATAGAATTAAAAATAGATAGACCAAGGATTTTTACTCCTATGAAAGAAAAAAGACTTAATGTTATTGTTGCTACTGTTGAAAAAAAAAATTATGAGAAATAAGCAAGGACTCACTAACTCAAAATTATAGAGACTTGTTTGCCTATGACATTTGGGGAACCACTCACTCAAAGGAACCAAGGTTGAGAAAACCGGACCGGGCAACGAACCGGTAGAGAGAGCGATTCACGGTTCGATCGGTTCAACGTTCAACCGGTCAAACCGGGGTTGAACCGGATGACGTAATAAATACAATTTAGATGATATAAAAATCATATAATAATATAACTTTTTTATTAAAAAATAGATTGAATTCAAACATTACTAATATCTTATATAATTTTAAATTTAAACATATTCAATTTTTAAATTTATATTAACTTACAAATTAATTAATAAGTTTATTATAAATAATCCTTAATTTATGTTATATATTTATAATTTCTATATTAGATTCATATTATTATTTTACATTTATAAATTATTGAAGTTAAATTAAATCATTTATTATAAATAATAAATAAATTAATTAATATTTATGGTACATAAAAAAATAAATGATGATTATAATTTATTTTATATTATTAATTAAAAATAAATATTATTTAATCATAAAAATATTATTTAAAAAATTTATTTTAAAATGAATAGTGTATGTTGTAAACTTAACGCGCATTAAGTTCTTACACAGTGCGCTATTCAATATCATCAGCAAAAAGCAAACACCAAGGTACATCCTCTTGAAAATGTCTAGTGAGAAGATCCAGGACTAAAGCAAAAAGAAATGGGCTTAAGGCTGATCCTTGATGTAATCCAACCAAAATAGGAAAATACTTGGTCAAACCACCTTGTGTTTGAACACAAGTAATAGCTTCTGCATACATATCTTTAATGATTTGAATATAAGCATTATTAACTCCTTTCTTTTCAAGAACTCTCCAAAGCACTTCTCTTGAAACTTTATCATATGCTTTTTCTAAATCAATAAATATCATATGTAGATCCTCTTTATTCTCTATATTTCTCTAACAAACCTCTCAATAAATGTATGGCTTCCATAGTAGACCTACCCGGCATGAATCCAAATTGATTTTGAGAAACATTAGTATCACGCTGCAACCTACGCTCCATAACTCAGTATGACACATTAACTTAATTCCTCTATAATTCGCACATTTTGGTGCCACCTTTATTCTTAAAAATAGGAATTAACACACTCATTTTCCACTCATATGGCATCTTTTGTTCTCAAAACAGTATTAAAAAGTTTAGTAAGCCAAGAAATTCCTTCATCTCCTAAGCATTTCCGCATCTCTATTGAAATATCATCAAGTCCAATAGCTTTAGTATGACACATTAACTTAATTCCTCTATAATTCGCACATTTTGGTGCCACCTTTATTCTTAAAAATAGGAATTAACACACTCATTTTCCACTCATATGGCATCTTTTGTTCTCAAAACAGTATTAAAAAGTTTAGTAAGCCAAGAAATTCCTTCATCTCCTAAGCATTTCCGCATCTCTATTGAAATATCATCAAGTCCAATAGCTTTTCCACACTTCATTTCTTTAAAGTCTCTCTAACTTCGGTTTTACTAATACGCCAATAAAAAAATCTTTATTTTCATTTAGGGTGCTAAAGTGACTAAAGTCAATCATATTTTCATATTATTCGTTAAAAAGTTTAGCAAAATATTTCATGCATCTTTGTTGAATATCATCTTCTAAGAAAAGTTTTTTTTTAATCTTTATCTTTAATATACATCACTTGAACTAAGTCCTTATTACTATTATCTCTTTGTTTGACTAACTTATACATATATCTTTCTTCATCCTTAGTATCTAATTTAGATTATATAAATCATTAAAAATTAAACTGTTTGCATCGCAAATAGCTTTTTTAGATTCCTTATGAGCCTCTTTATAGCTTTCCCAATTATCAGAATTTTTATATCTAAATCAATTTTTATAAATAAATCTTCTTATTTTTTATCTTTTCTTGTACATTTGGATTCCACCATTAACTATTTTTACTATTATGAGTTTTTCTCTTTGAAACTCCAAGTACATCTTTTGTAATATTCTTAATATCACTAGCCACTTTTTCCCACATAATATTAGCATCCTCATGCACAGACAAAATCTTAAGATCTAAATTTTTACTCTCAAAAATACTTTTGTTAATATTTTTTAAAAGCCCCCATCTAATCCTAAAAAATTGTTTTACTTTATTTTATATTTTTTGCCCCTTTATCTTAAAGTCCAAAACTAATAATCGATGTTGGGTACATCAATTTTTAAGAGGCCTTACACCATGATAGATAAAAAGCTAAAGAGGAGCATCACCTTACTAAGTAGTGATTGACTCAAGAAAGCAAAAGCTAAAGCCAATCTAGTATGAGTCATTTCAGATTATGAAGAAGATTAGAGGCAATGTTCGCCAACTGGAGTTTCCAACATACATGAAGACATATTTGGGGGTCAATGTGGAGCACTTAAAGCCATCCAAGAATTTTATGTCAAATGTCGATACTAAATAAGTTTTCCTTGAAATTGATAATATGTTGACGGAGTGACAGGTACCATTTGAGTTGGACAAGCTAATGGAGAAGAGAATAGCCACTACAAAGGCATGAACAAAAGGAGATTTATTGCATTTTCAAAGGCGGGTCAATTTCCTAATGCAGTGAAGTTGTACAATAAGAGGTTGAGAAAACAATCTACTCTCTTCTCAATATGTAAGTTCACAGAAATGAAATCCTCCCAAAAAGGGATCCAAGATATGGAGATTAAATCAAGTGGATAACTTACCAAATCATCATTGATAGTGATTTGGGAATCAAACCGTGAAGAGATTAAATGGATTGAAATCATTTAATCTTTGATGGTTTGATCTATTGATGAAGAAACCAGTTGTGGTGATTCTTAGATTACGCCATTAAGCTAGAAGAACAAAATAGCAGGAGTACAAAAGTGTACATGGATTTTAAATCAGACACCTAATAATTAGTATAAGGAGGAAGAAAATTTGGACATTTGGATGAAAATGAGAACAATGGTATTTTGAATTTTGTTGAAAGTTTAAATTCAAGAGAGTTTCTATCTTTTCACGTGTTACTTTAGAAATTATAAGATCAAGTTCAAAATGAATTTCAATTGTATTATGCCTACAAATAGGCATATTTTCTGCAAAAGAAAATCAATCCAATTATCTAAAAGCCTCTTTCTCTCTCCTCCAAATGCTAGCCTTACAAAGCAAGCCAAAATTTGCCACCTGAAGCATCCCAGCTCGTTGGTTACTTGTCACCCTTCATAAACTCCACAACAGTCAACCAATTGCTGCTCCTTCTGGTAGTTTCCAACGGTCATCCAAATGTTTCTGTGACCATAATAGGGAAGGAGTTGGATCTATGCTTGCTGATTTACAGCAAACCTCAAGTAGAATATAGCAATTGATGCTGTCTGGGAGTAAAAGAAACCAAAAAAATAGAGAAGAAGTCATTTGCAGCAAGAAACAATAATTAAGGTACCTAATTTTGATTAATAAACAACTAGAGTTCCTCCAGAAATCGTGTAAAATCCTTACCTATTAGTTCTAACCACTTGTTCCAACTCATCTCATGATGTTTAGAGATTAGCATCAGACCATTTATCTTATTCATTACACTTCCTGACGCCTTTTTTCCCCCACCATCCTTCTTTCCCCTTATACTTTTCCCCTAAAAAAAAAACCTTCTTCCACATTCATTGCAATTCCCTTTAGAATCAAATTTCCAACCAGACACTACATCAATTGAGGCCTCTTGTCACAGTGCCACCCCAAGCCCAATAATTTGATTAGCGACATAATTTTTAAAATAGTTAATTTCAGAGAAAAAACTTGTGATATGCACGAACATTCCTATACAAAACATAAGAGAATCTTATTATAACAAAGAATGACTGGTGGGTTGGCTCAATCAAACCGAGCATGAACACAATCATTCGCGAAATATTCGGCTTGCTGAAGACACGTGGCTTAAATAGGAATATACCAGTAACAATTAGATTTTCAAGGGCGCAACAAAAAGTGAACAATTTTACAAAAAGAAAAAGTGCAATATGAATAATAAAGAATCCAAAAATAAGAAATGGAGAAATAAATTGACCGGCCAGTAACAAAAACAAAAAACCTAGCCAAAAAGGCAAAAAAAAGAAAGAAATTAGAACCTTGATACACGAAGGGGAGCGAAATCTGCTTCCATGATTCACAAAAGCGGGGCAGCTCGACGAGTAGAGGAGGGGAGCAAAGTCGCCCCGGTAACTAGAAAGAACGAGGCCAAACTCCATCGTTCTTATCCCCGTCTCTTCTCTTCAAAGAATCAGGTTGAGAAAGTGGAAGAGAGCGGGGAAGGAGAAACTAGCGAACGCCGCACCCGAAATCGCAGTGGCGGCGGCCAACGAGAGGAAAAGAGTTTAACCAGATGTCCGAGACATAGGGCGGAAGTTGGCGCTGGAAGTCTCGGTCGTCATGGAAGATCACCTTTTTATTAGGTTAAATATTATTTGTTTTTAAATGGTAATGTCGATTTTAAACTGTATGCAGGCTCTAAGATATGTAGAAAATAAATAAGAAAATATATCATATTTTTCCAGATAAGAAAATCATATTAAGCAACTAAGATTAATATTTTATATGACATTTTTAATTATAATAGTTTTAATATAAATTTAAAATTTGTAATTAATACTGATATATTTTATATCAAAATAATCTGATAAATTCTTTTTTAATTACTTTAAGAGGCCTGTAAGAAGTATAAGAAAGTAATATGCGATGCAAAAATTTTAGTTTTTATTAATTTATATAATAAATTAGATAGTAAGGAGGGTGAAAGATATATTTATAAGTTAGCCAAATAAAAATATAGGAGTAGTGAGGATTTAATGCAAATGAAATGTATTAAGGATGAAAATAAAAAAAAAAGTATTTTTATTTGAAGAAGATATTCAACAAGATGGAAGAGATATTTTGCTAAATTTTTAAATAAGATTGTGATAATACGATTGACTATAGTAACCTTAATATCCTAAATAAAAATAAAGATTTTTGTTTTTATTGGTGTATTTGTAAAGCCGGAGTTAGAAAATGATTTAATGAAAATGGTGTCGAAAAGCTATTGGATATGATGATATTTCAATAGAGATGTGAAAATGCTTAGGAGACGAAGGAATTTTATTAGCTTTCTAAACTTTTTAATATTATTTTAAAGACTAAAATGATGTCAGATGAGTGGAGAATAAGTGTGTTGATTCTTTTTTTTAAGAATAAATGTGATGCACAAGTTTTTGCAAATTATAGAAGAATAAGTTAATGTGTCGAACTTGAAAACTTTGGGAGAGAGTTATGGAGCTAGGATACGACATGATACTAATGTTTCTCAATATCAAATTGTATTCATGTCAGGTAGGTCTACTATGGAAGCTATTCATTTATTGAGAGGTTTGATGGAGAAGCATATAGAGAATAAGGAGGATCTTCATATGAATATATGATATTTATTGATTTAGATAAAGCATATGATAAAGTTCTAAGAGAAGTGCTATGGAAAGTTCTAGAAAAGTATGGAGTTAATAATGTTTATATTCAAGTTTAGGGTTTAGGTTTGGGCTAAGGTGAGATAAAATTTTATGATCTTAGCTAAATATTGTTGGATCAATTCACTATTGGAATTGGAGACAATACAACCTAATGGTGATGATAAGGTATGTTGAGAGGTTGTTAATATTGCTGAAGATGGTCATATTGGTTTTCCCATGTAGGAAGCAGTGAAGAAAATATAAAGGTGGTACCATGGATAATAACCAAGGGTTATTGGGATAGTCCATCTCAGAATGGAAGAGGAATTGAATGACCTTAGGTTAACAATTAGTTGAAGGTGATAGGGACAATCCCTCTCGTAATATAAGGAGGGTTAATGACTATATATTGAAAGTGATGAAGGCAATTGTGATAGTCCATCTCTTAAAAGGAGGGGATTAAACAATTGGAGGCAAAATAACAATACCTCTCTCCTTGAAGGAGAATGAATTGATCAACCAAGAATTGCTGGGAGATTGGAGGCTTTCAGGACAATCTCGATCTCTCTCAAATAGGATGGGAAAATTAAGAGATTAGGAGTTATAGAAAGTTATAAGTAATCAAACAATCGCTTTATTGGAAAGAGGACGAACGGATTGATCGACAATCAAAGTTGATTGGGACAATCCCTTTTTAGGAATGAGGGGGAATCTATTGACCAAGAGTTAGATAGTGACTAAAGCATTTATAAACAATCTTTCCCTTTGAAGAAGGGGATAGACTGAATTAAATAAATTAACGAACTACTAGAGGTAACGAATATAATCCTTTTATTGGATAGAAGGCCTTCTGATTAAGCAACCATGAGTTAATTATGAAATGAGAATCCATGATTGCTAGAATCACTAACATTAATTTTCTATATTTAATCAAAATTGTATATATAATTTCTTCAACGTCGATATGAGGATTTACACAAAAAATGCCTTATTTTTATTAGCGAAAGGCACACTAGATTGTGTCCTCCCATGATCAAAAAACAACTGGGTGATCCCACCTCTTTGTTGGCCTGATCAATCCAATCAAATTGGGGTTTGTGTTGGGCAACTAATCAGTAGATAGTGGTGGTGGTATGAAAATGGTTTTCTGGTGATTGTTGTTTACGAAATCTTTAATAAATGAACAACTATATGCCTTTTGAAACACTCAACCCCACAAACCCAATGGAGTTGTCATTTATGATTGCCCGTACAAATTTTTGGAAGATTTAAAGATGAAAATTTCATTCTATGGAAAACAATGATAATAAGCTATCATTTTTGTATCAAATTATTCATTTTCTAAATCTAGAAGATTTGTGAATCATATGCTTATATATGTCATAAGAACTCTAGGAAGTTTAAATCTAATTGGGCAAGTTGTGCTTAAATTAGTGATCATTATCACAATCTAGTGCAAGAGGATAGGTCTTCACAAGAGAGGAAGTATGTGATCGGTTGGATGGCCCTGCAATGAACAAATGGTTTGCCACAGATAGCTTTTGAATCAAAGGCTTGTCGTGGCATTAAAAATTCTAGGGAGTTTAAATCTAACCATATTATCCACCACAAATCGCACAAGGAGAGTGACAATCAGCTTGGGCTAAGCCAGCCCAAGCTTGCTTGTTTTGGCTAGCTTATCCACTTTAGTTTGTTTGTTTTTTTAGGACATTTCAGAGTATTTGATTGAAGTATTTTATGTTATTGTTAGAATCATTACAATGAGGTGGTCATTTTACTATAAATTCGTCACTTAGAGTTTGTTTGATCCTTAAAACACTACAGAAAAATCACCCATTTCCGACGGCCTTTTCCCAGCGGAAATTGAGCCTTCTCCGGCGGAAATTGAGCCTTTTCCGGCGGAAATCGAGCATTTTCCTGCGGTTTTGTAATTTTCTGACGGTTTTCCGGCGGTTAAAATGCCGCCGGTAAAAACGGAGCCGGAAAATAAAAACCGGTGGTTTTTTCCGGCGGTCTTAAACCGTTCACTACAGGAAAAATGGCCTATACCGGCGGTTTATAGGCTGTCGGTATTACCGACGGCTCCGCCGGCGGTTACGCCGTCGGACTCTAACGACGGCCAAATCGACGGCTTAGCTACGATACACCGTCGGTATTACCGACGGTCTCTAAACCGCCGGTACACCGCCGGATATCAACATTAACCGGCGGTTATCCGGCGGTCTAAACCGCCGGTGATAAATGATTTTGTTCCGGCGGTCTAGACCGCCGGATATCAACGTGAACCGGCGGGTTTCCGGCGGTCTGAACTGCCGGTGATAAGTGATTTTGTTCCGGCGGTCTAGACCGCCGGAAAACCGCCGGTAAAAGCCCTAATACGACGGTTTAAACCCTAATACCGGCGGCTTACCGACGGCCGCCGGCGGTTATACGATGTACGCACGACTGTTTAAACCGTCGGTAATACTGACGGCTATAACCGCCGTCCACCGCCGGTACCTTACCGACGGTCTAACGGCGTCGTCCGGCGGTCTAATGAACAAGACGACGCCAGGTTTAACCGTCGGAAAACCGCCGGTAATTTGACCGGCAGTTTTCTGGCGGTTACAATACCGGCGGCCTAACCGCCGGAAGACCGACGGTTAAAATTCCGATGGTCACCGGCGGTATTGGCCGCCGGCAAACCGCCGCAAAAATAAACCGCTGGTAAAAAGCCGTCGGAATTGGTTTCCTACGCCGTTTTTACCGGCGGTTAACAAACCGCCGTTAGACCGCCGGTAATTCTACACTAACCGCCGGAAAAAATAGCCGGTTATCAGCGTTTTTCCTGTAGTGGTTCAAATTAAAAAAACAGGAAAAAGGCCCCGCAAAGGGCAGGAGAGCCATTCGGGTCGGGTTTTCGGGTCGGGTCAAATATTGACAGCTCTAATTGCGACCGCCACCCCGACTCCCGCGCTGCCGGCGCCGCGCCAGCGCCCCCGCACTCTAGTTCCCGGGCTGCCGGTGACGCACTCCCGCTCCCGCACTGCCGACGCCGCGCCAGCGCCCCCGCGCTCCCGTTTTCGAGCTGCTGGTGACGCACTCCTCCGCTCCACGCTGCTGCTCTGCAGCTCCCGCGACTGCCGCGAGGTTCGAACCGCGTCAGTTGGAAAGAAATTCATGCAACCGACCAAATTTCTAAATGTGTAAATACGTATTTTTTGTCAATATTTTTTATTTAAACTATATTCCGACCGTAAATAATTTAATTTTTAATTATAAAAAAATGGAACTAATTAATTTAAAATAAAAATTAACTAACTAATTAATTTTAAAATTAATATTAATTAAATCGTTAATATAACTTTTAATAATTATTTGTTAAATCATTTAAATAGTTTAAAATTTATTCATTTTTCTTTAATTTTTTAAAAGCCACTGGAAAATTGGAAAAGCCGTCGGAAAGCCGCCGGAAATTAGTGATTTTCCTGTAGTGAAATAATTTTGATACTAATAGTTGGTTCAATATCTTTTGAATTGATTTATAAGCCATAATATCCATGTCTTGAAATTATGCTTGATTATATGAGATTTTTGACACCACATCAATTCTAACCAATTTTTTTAATCCCAAGTAATATGTGTGGGGTTATGTTCGTTTGTTTTTAATTGAAGACTATTTTTAGAAGTCTTCATGTAGAGCTTTATACTTTAGAGGGTGTTTCTTATGGTTAGCTTGTATTTATAAAATTTCTAACTTAGGATCTAGTGGATGATTAATAGAACTCTTGTCAGAGATTGAACCTTCATGATGATTGCTAGTAAGTGATCGAGCTACAACCTTTGATGTTACTTGCACGATCTTTAATCCTAATGCTAAACACTTTGAAGTAGGATAAATATTGATATTTTTCTCTTGATTCAAGAATTTTACCCTTAAATCAAGGCTCCTTGAAAAGAGGATGATTTATATCTTTCCGAAAAGGATAATCACCTTCCTCCT